ATCAAACGCCATTCTTGTGCCATGTCATCTGTTTTGCGGACTCTTCTTCGGACATGAATAGCCGTTGGAGCCTCGGTATGATATAGGAAGGTATCATAGGACTTTCATTGGGATCCCCTCATTCTGCTCCTTCTTGCCATCACCTTTGTCTACCTCCACATACCTAGAGGATTTACACTTTGGACAGTACTTTGCATCCTTGTGATCTTTCCTAAATAGGACGCACCCCTTCGGACAACAATGTATCTGCTCATACGGCATCTTCAGTGCCCGAAGGAGTCTCGTTGACTCGTACAAGCTGCTCGGCAGATGATGACCCTCCGGAAGCAAATCCCCAATAATTGCCATCATAGCATCGAAGCAGGTTCGAGTCATGTTGTGCTAGGACTTCAACCCCAGTAGGCGCCCAATGGCATCCAGTTGAGAAACCGTTGTCTTCTCATGTAGGAACTTCTATGCCGATTCCAACATGGCCAAGAACACCTTAGCACTTGGCTCTGGCTCCTCCTCCTCATCCTCCTGCTCGACCTCCGGAGGTCTTCCAGCGAACATTGCATCCTCATAGTCACCTAACCCTCCTTCTACCCCGCCATCACCATCAAATGCCTCCAAGCGTCGTCTCACGACCTCCTCTCTAGGACGATAGGCTTCACCATGGTACACCCACCGGGTATAGTTTGGCATAAATCCAAACTTGCAAAGATGCTTCATCATGACTTCCCTTTTTTTTCTTTTCTTGTTTTCACAATCGCTGCAGGGACAGAACATGTCTCTCGCTCCCTTAGCTTCCTTAAATGCATGGTCCAAGAATTTCTCGGTCTTATCCATCCATTCACGGGTGATTTGAGCCTGACTTGGGCGTCCCATGTACATCCACTCACAGTTCTCCATCATCTAGCATATACACATAACGGAGCAATATCATATACACATAACGGAGTAATATAACCATCAGTTGCATCTGCACGGCGTGCCTGCTGTCTAATAGGTGAGGATAGGTCCTAATCCCACCCGCAGATGCGTAGATGAGGTTAGTTTCCATGCTCTACTCCGATCCAAGACAGAATTTCGGTAGCACCTCCCCGCTGTTCTCCCGATACACATCCTAGAAGGGAGAGTGTGTATCCGGAGAACAACAGGGAGGTGGTGCCGAAACTCCGTCTTGGATCCGAGCAGAACATGGAAACTAACCCATCTACGCATCCACGGGCTATCCAAAAACGTGGACAATCCGAAATGTATACGGTCATAGATATGCAAAGATCCGCATACCTCCAACCGTATCTGCTTTCGGATGGGAGACGCTTAACCGGGTTACGTCATTTACAACCGTAAGCAAGAAAGGTCAATTATACCTAGGGTGGCGATGGAGAAAGGCTAGCGCGCGCGATGGCGAAGTCGGTGCGCAGGCAAGACGGCAAGGCGAGCGCGAGCGCGACCGCAGCGCCGACGAAGACGATCGAGATCGCCGAGGTGCTCCGGGTCCCCTCCGGCGGCTCCTACTCGCAAAAGAAGAAACACATCACTATTACTTGAAAATTTGGCGTAACCTCCCCTATACGGGGAGGTTTCCAAAACTCTAAAAAAAAGCCAAGACGTTGGCGATGTCCACATTTGGGGCACGATGGCCCACATACACACAAACCCGCACGAAGGCCGTCAACAACACATAAACGGCACCAAGGCCGACACCCCCGGAGCCTTTACCTTTTCTCCGGCGAGGGACGGGGACGACGGCGTGGACGAACGATGAGGTGCGGGGACGATGGAGTGGATGAACGTCGTCGACGAATGGCGTGAACGGTCATCGGACCGAGGTCCGTCTCCTCCTCCTCCCCCCTTCTCCTTCCTCTTCCTCCTTCTTCTTCTTCATCCTTCCTCCCTTCTCCTTCTTCTTCCTCCTCCTCCTCCCTTCTCCTTCTTCCTCCTCCCTTCTCCTTCTCCTCCCTTCTCCTTCTTCCTTCTCCCTTCTCCTTCTCCCACCTCCCTTCTCCTCCTCCCCTTCTCTTTCTCCCCTCCTCCTCTCTGCAGGGACGGCCGGGCCGGGGGCAGGGCACCGCGGCCGGGCTCCTCCTCCTCTCTGTAGGGACGGCCAGACAGGGCGGGCCACCACCACCGAGGGGGTGTGGGGCAGGCGTCGCCCAGGGCGGTGGCCTGGCGGGGCGGGGCCGGCCGCCGAGGGTTGCGTGGGGTGGCGGTCAGTGGCTGGGCGGCGTGGGGGGGCGTGGCGTGGGGCGGGGGGGGTGGGGCGTGGGCGTGGGCAGGCGGCGTGGGGCAAGGCAATGGCCGGTCTTGGCGGCGGGGAGTGGCGTGGCCGCCACAGGGTGAGAGGCGGGCATGAATGAGGATAGGGTTGGAGGAGGATGGGCCGTGGGCCCTTATTCCAGAAGGGATTTTTTTTCGAAATATCCTTTGCCGAGTGCTGCGGCCTGGCACTCGGCAAAGGCCCTCTTTGCCGAGTGTCAGGCATGGCACTCGGCAAAGTATTTTTGTTTTTTTTTAATTTTTATTTCAAAATTTTTTTGTAGACCTTATCTATTATTTACAAGCACATGTTAAAATTTGGGACCTTTTTATAACTTTTTGCTATATTTCTTGAATTAATTTTGTTTACTTGCATTTTTTTTTAAAAAAGTAAATTTGAGCTACTTGAGTGCATGAAATAATGAAATGTAGCCATTCAAAAAATGATAGTCATGTTGTAGAGTGTATTTTGAGGCCGTGTCACGGGAACTCACACAAAATTTTGAGCATGTATTAGCCAAACATGGACCCGCTTGTGGGTTTGTATTTAAATTATAGAAAATGCAACTTAGTCAAAACTCAAGAAACTTTTCGATAGCCTCCACATGCGATGGCATGATACTATGATAAAGTTTCGAGAATTTTGAGCTTCGCTTGCATTTTCTATAATTTAAATACACCCATCTCATATGTTTGGTGAACAAGGTGTTCAAAATTTTGGGTGAGTTCCCGTGATACGGCCTCAAAATACACTCTACAACATGACTATCATTTTTGAATGACTACATTTCATTATTTCATGCACCTGCAGCTCAAATTTACTTTTTCGTAAAAAAATGCAAGTAAACAAAATTAATTCAAGAAATATAGCAAAAGTTATAAAAAGGTCCCAAATTTTAACATGTGCTTGTAAACAATAGATAAGGTCTAGAAAAAAAATTTGAAATCAAAATTCAAAAAAAACAAAAATACTTTTGCCGAGTGCCATGCCCCGACACCCAAGAAGGGGGCTTTTGCCGAAAAGTTAAAGTCACAAAGACTCGGCAAAAAGGGCCTCTTTGCCGAGTGTCGTTTAAGCGCTTCGGTAAACATTTTTTTTAAAGATGGTAACGGCGTGGGCGGGGTAGGTCGGCAATCGACGGGCATTTTGCCGAAAAGCGCTTTTTGTCGAGTGTTGCTCTTCGGCAAAGAGTGCCTTTCTTGCCGAGTGGCGTGCTTTGCCGAAGCGTCAGGCACGCTGCGCGGCACTCGGCAAAAGCCACTCTTTGCCGAGTGCAATTCTTTGCCGAGTGCAACACTCGGCAAAGAGTGGCTTTGCCGAGTGCCCTATTTTCGGCACTCGGCAAAGCATGCGGCACTCGACAAATTTTGCTTCTCCCGTAGTGATAGGACGAGGACGTATGTCCGTCCGGACACGCTCACTAAAAAAAACTCCGCACATGTGGTGGTCTGCTCCCTCCCTCTCCGCCTCACACCGCATGTCCCATTTTACGCCACACCGCCGCCACCATCCTTCGCGGCGCCCCGTTCCCCCCCACCGCACCATGTTGTGCCCCGTCCTCCGCTGCACCCAGGCCAAGCGGCCAGGAGATGGTGTTGTCGCTGGCCAGGCCCAGGTTAGGCGCAGATGCCGCTGGCCACTGCCAGGCCACGCCACCATCCTCGGTTGTCGGCGGAACCGGCTGTTCCCCCGCTCTACGCTGCGTCATATGGAAGAAGTAGAACGGTGAAAAAACGCATGTTGCAAGCCTATGTTTCATGAGGTTTTGATGTTTTCTAGGTATGTTGCAATTATTTCATATGGATGTTGGAAAAGTAGATCGGATGTTACATATTTTGTAATTGTTGTACATGTATGTTGCAAGCTTCTATTCCCAATGTTTTATCTGTTTTTTCACAAGTATTTTGCAAGTGTTGCAAGTGTGTTTATTTGGATGTTGCATATGTTTCACACATATATTGCAAGTGTTTTATCTGGATATTGCATATGTTTTACAGTGGTTTTCTGGTATTTTTGCAAGTGTTTCAGATGCATGTTTCAAGTGTCATCTGTATTTAGATGTATGTTGCAAGTGTTGCATCTGGTTATTTCAAAAGTAGATTGGGAGTTGTACCCCTCTCCTCGCCTTCTGTTGTCTTGCCTCAGTGTCTCCTCCTCGTCCCAGCGCCAGCTAGGCATACGAAACAGAGGCGTAGGCGGGCCCTCCCCCATGCCCCCTCTTCTCGATGCTGGTTGATATAATCAGTCATCCTAATGATGTAACTGCGTGTAGATATAATGTTAGAATCACACATCCTGTTGTAGATCATTCAGACCACCTAATGGCGATATAAGTATTTCCAGTTCCCTGTTTTCTTAACCAAAATAACAATATAATCATTTATTGAAGCAACCAATATAGCAGCAACAAAGGGAAGATTGTGAACAGTAGGCTGTAGTTCTGAATAAAAGCAATGTGTTTTTGTACTTCTGAAGAAATCGACAACTTAATTTCTATAGAAGTTCGAAATCATATACTAACTGTGCACCTTCTATAACCCTGAAACAGTTCATGATAATAGGTAGCATGTCACTTGTAGTCAGAAAATCATGAGATGCAACAAGTTACATCAATTTGCTACGAAACCATCACTTCTCATTGGATAGTACCTGGCACACTAATTTGTAAAGTAGTAATCTGTAGTCTCAAATATCAGCAGGGCTTAGTAGGAGCTAGAGTGGGGCAATCCTAAGCTGGAGAGAGTAAAAGCCATGTCTAATGCTGAAACGACCATGTATCCAAACCAGTCCTATCACAAGTAAATTTGCACCAGCATTCACGATGAATGATCTCATGCAAATTAAACCAGCTGTCGATCTTCCGCAGGGCTGGACTAAACTGAGCTAGTGCGTCACCCTTGTAGTCATGATTTCCCAGAACTGAAAACGCACGTGTGCACAATGAAGCCTCAGTGAACATATAATACAAGAGTATTTTCCATCGTCGCATCGATACAAGAGGAATAGAACTGGTAATAGAAGAGCGCGAGTTTCAGGTTCAGTTACCTAGGTGCCACGGCTTCTGTAAGCTGTTCGCCCTGTAGATGTCCGTGAAGGATTGCTCAAACGCGTCGTCATCCCCGACCCTTCCCATCTGCCCGGTGTTGTAGAAGTTGACCCCGGTGGATACCACGTAGTCGATGTCGAGCTTCTCCCCGACCCTTCCCATCTGCAGGAAATTCGCTGATTACTACTACTGCTCCTACCAGTTATTACAGTCCCCAGAGGTAAATTTTCACGTCAGATTGGTCTGTTGAGTAAAATCTTCTGTCCTGTCCCTGTGATTCGTAGATCCTAGAAACACAACTGCCGGGAGTTTTTTCTTTTGGTCCATTTCCACAGATGCGCAGCAACAAACAGGATAAAAAAAATCACGAGCACGCGCCACTGGGAGCAGGGCGTCGAGGCCTCAACGCATAAATAAACAAATCTAATGGAACAACTGTCAACTGGCGATCTATTGTACCCTGCCAGACAGTTTCATTCCCACGCCTTTTTCGCCTAACAATAGGAAAACGGCCACCTGATTTCCTGGATTCCGGGCTCCCTATCCCGCCTGATTTGCTGACCACATATTCTCTACTCCGACGAATAGGAACGGATCATACATGGGAGGAGGCCGGAGCCCGAGGGAGATGAACATGCTTGTTACCTGCTGGGCGATGCGGAACGGGTTGCACTCCCCCTTGCGGCCCCAGTCCCTGACGACGAGCAGGCTCAGCGACCCGTCGTTCTTGGCTGGGTGCTCCAGCCGGGGCAGCGTGGCCGCGGCCAGGACGGTGAGGACCGTGGCAATGCCGCCCTTCGCCATGGCCGTCGCGGCGCACCCGGAGCAAGAACAAACCGCACGGACGGGAGGCCGAGCGCCCATCCTTGCGCGCCTCGCGGGCTCCATCTGCTGCGGGGCGGCCCTCCCTCTCCTGCTTCCCTGCGGACTCGGGATATGGAGGCGGCGGCTAGGGTTTTGGCTCACAGCATCGTGGGCCGCCGAGGGGGGCAGCGTGGGCACGACAGCGCCGGGCGACGCCGGCTGGGGTAGGGCTCGATTAGGGTTTACGGGCAGCGACAAGGGAGGGGATCGGGAGGACGGGAATTTGGGTGGGGATTACTGTGGGAGTGGCGTGCGCTCGGGGGAAGGAGAAGGAGGACGATGTTTTGACCCTTTGTTTTCTCGAAAAAAGGGAAAACAATGTGGGGGCTGGGAATCGAATCGGGGTCACGGAGTGTTTGAACCGTGCCTACGGGTGCGGACATGAGGGCTTGGTCTTGTGTTGTGTCGGGTGGGGAAAGGCTAGCATCACACATGAAAGATCATTGTTGGATGAGTTTTTTTTCTTATTAGCCCTTGATTTTAATAGCTATGAATTTCATGCATGTTTTTCTAGGTGTATAATAGCCGAGGCTCTCAATGGAGACGTTTTCCTAGGTAGACCTAGTATAATTTTGATTGATCCATTATTAATTTATATATAATGGTTATATCGAATTTGATACAATAAATATAAGCCCATTCGGGCCTCTCTAAAAGCACACTGCCTAACGAGAATGTAACGATTATAAATAACACCACGGGAATGTATAAACTAGGACATAGATCGATGTATGCTTGTTAAGCACTTATGGTTCGGCCACCGTCAACCTAGATGACCTGGCCGGTGACGTAGGACGCAGCCGGCATACACACACTACTATATGAATGGTTTCTAGGGCCGGCTGGTGAGGCTTCGTAGAGACGGCTCGGCCAGCCGCCCCTACCATACCGTCTCTACAAATCATGTATTTGCAGGGGGTGGTTCCCAGACCGCCCTTACAAATCGATTTGTAGAGACGACTGGTGTTATCAGCCGCCCCTACAAATCGATTTGTAAGGGCGGCTGTAGTACCAGCCGCCCCTATGATACCTGTTTGTAGGGGCGGTTCAGTCTAGAACCGCCCCTACAGTATATTTTTCTGCCAAAAAAATTTAAATTTACAATTCAAATTCGACCAGAACATATATATTTACATTTCACACATGAACCATGAAATGTGGAAACAAGAGTTATATTCATGTTTGTTGCGTATATAGTAAATCAATACTTGTAGGAACAAAAAAATTTCAGAGTGGTCTAGTTGTAGGCTGGTAACCATATCACCAGTGACGTAACAGATATCATGATTTAAAAGGACTAGTTAATTCTGGTGGTATGTCTATTTGAAAATTTTGACAAATGAGCTACAAGTAAAGTACCAATACGATCCATACATGTTTTGGACATAAGGCTACAATCAGATAATTGACCAAAGTAGAACTGTACCTCAAGTGGCCTGCTAAAACAATAACTAACAGCCATTCTAATTGTAACTAAAGCAGTTTATCACACACAGCAGCCCATACAATATCATCACACCCTATTAATTATGCAACAGCTAAAGTCTCAATTTTTTTATGAGAAGAACATCATCACAGTTATGGTGATGTAAGGCAAGATATGAGAGGAAAAACTTATTGACTACTTAAAATGTCTATCGTTTAACTGAGGTCTGGAAGGATATGGCAGCAGCCCTGGACAAATCTGAGATCGACGATTTCTCATTAGAATATATGTTGAGATTTAGTTCTCTCCCAAAAAAATTAAGAATAATGTTGAGATCGATGATTGTGCAGATTTGTTTTCTAAGAATAATGTGACTAGCAACTACTTCAGAAGCACCAATACCGCTACTGCTCAATACAGGATCTGTAACTTTGAAGGCAAAAACCAGCTCTGTAGGCAGAAAAAAATGGCAACAATAGAGAACTAGATCAATTTACCTCTTAGAAATTTATAGCTTATGTCACATCAGAGTGTGCACTCTGCAGCACATGATAAAAAAATATTGGTATCCAACTTTGCAGCAAGATATATGAGATAAAAACATCAGAGTCGTGAGAAAAACAGTCTGTGGTAGTGATAGCATGAGCATAAGATCCTATAGAAGTCAACTACAAGGAAGTGTGCAAGGTAACTTAACAAAAATGAATAGTAGTGCATACTTAATAAAAACTGTACACCAGGTTTGGTTTATAAAAGAATTCACCTATATTAGTATGATATTAGAAATGAGTATAATAGTATATTCACCCATAGTCATCAGCTTTTACAGTGAGTCTTGGCACGATCGATTTGAGGGTAGAGACTATAGAGTGAATGATCTTATAATTTTATTAACTACTAAGAAGCTCATCTCATTTTGGAATTTTCCTTGGTTTGATTGGCAAGTTCTGAATATGTTGAATATTAGTAATTACCAAGAAACTTAACTCATTTTGAAAATTTTTTGTAAATAACACATAGAGAGTTGCATTAGAGAAAAATAATATGTGCACCATACAGCAGAACCAAGCACAACCAGGGATCTCACCATCGTGTTGCAAAGATGGGGAAGGCCTAGGACATACGGTGTTGGATGGCACTATGCAGAAGCTCCATGTTTGTAATAAGGCACAACTTAGTGAGGACAAATAAACTGCACATTAGGATACACATCAATAGGAGAATGTCTTTACATCACATTTCTATCAGACAAAATAAATGTGTAATGAATCATCATCGTGCATAGTAAATTAAAAGAATTAGGAACTGATCAAGGTGACAATGTTAAAGCACTCATGTCCATCGACATGCCCATTTTATGCCATCATTGCTTCATGTTCTTCTCGCCACCCCAATCGTTGTAGCTCTCTCTCGAACACAGGACTTGCTTCCACACCTCAACATATAAGAAACTCTTACTGCTTCCTAACAGGTTCTTGGATGGCAATATGCAGATGCTAATACCAGCACACATGCTTTGAGTTGGCTACTCACCACACAATACAAGGCTACTAAATGACCATCATCGTTGTCTAAGTTGGTTGGCATGAGCATCTCCAACCCCTCCCTACATCTGAAACAAGACAAAAAAGAAGCCATTCATGATTCATTTACTTCAAACCAAAACTAAACAATTTGTCATACAACAAAGAATAAATTATGCCAAGAAAGAGTACAACTACACATTACCATCAATGTTAGAGAAGCTTCACCGTGTATGAGAGCATAAACAAATTTCCAGTCACTCACACTAAAAATCTAGGCACTAATACCCTACACACTAATGGGTATGCTCAGATCTGAAGCCCTCTTAGGGATGAGTTCAGAGGAGAGGATAAACGGAAAAGGCTGACCGCTTCGCCGCCATCATCACCCGGTGCCCGATCACTGAGATCCCCGGCCCCGGTTGGCTGCGCCTCACGCAGATCCGCTTCGGCCCGGCACACAGATTCGCTCGGGCCCTCGGCATCAAGCGCGGTGCCACGCCCCCGGCCGTCGGAGGTTCATGCAGCACACGGACCAGGCGCCCAATGCTGGCGGTGGCTTTGGACCGCCAGCAATGAAACCGGGCATTGGTGGCGGCAGCAGGTGCGTGGTGGGGTGGCAGCAAACCGATGGGTACGGTGCGGTGCGGCGGGCGAATGTCTCAGGTGCGGAGAGAGGAGCAGCCGAGCAGGAGAGGGGATGGGGATGCCCCATGGCTGCGGCGCGGTGAGGGGAAGGCGCTGCGGCCACCGGACAGCTTCAAGCGGTGAGGGGAAGGAGAGGGTTGGGGGTAGGAAATGGCTGTAGCTCGGTGGAAGAGAAAAGTTTGGGGAAAGTGAAATTATGGAAGAAGGTGGCTGCTATATATACAGCGGGCATTTGTAGGGGCGACCGGTAACAGGGGCGGCTGATAATAGCCGCCTCTACATACCAGCCGCCCCTACAAATTGACCCATTTGTAGGGGCGGCTCATATTACCAGCCGTCCTTATTGTGCCATTTGTTGGGGCGGTTCTTGTCTTTGGACTCCGAGCACACCACTGTAGGAGCTGCTCCAATGCCAGCCGCCCCAAAAAAAAAAAAAGCCCGTTATTACAAACTGTTTTTCACGTACAGGAACGACACCATGGACGCCACCTCCGCCGGCTCCCCGATGCGACGCAGTGGAATCCGCTGAGATTGGTGCTCGATGGCTTCCGAGTTTACTACTTACATGCCAAACTCAATCACAGATTACTATGGCAAACAACAATGGGATTCTGTAGCTGTCGAGCTCGATCTATCTCATGGTAAATAAAATAGTAATAATAAAAAAAGAAAGAAAACAATGAAATAAGTGGTAAAAATATGTACAAGGACGTGAGTAGTCCATGAGGTCCACCTCACGTACGTACGTTTGTAACCATGTCAGTCATGACCATCCCTGGTGCGACGCAGTTCACACGGATCTTGTCTGGGGCCCACTCAGCAGCCAGGCTCCTTGTGAGCTGGTTCATCCCTCCTGTGCAGCACGCAGTAAAATTAAAGGCCCACAACAAGAACACGATTCAAAATGTAGAAGAAGTCTAGAAGAAGTTTGTAAACACGATCGCAAATACTTGGTATATTTTACATGCACGTGCTGGTTAGTTTTGTTTAAATAAATCTGGTCTATGGCATTTCATCGTTGAATAAATATTTGGAGTAAGGACATCAAAATCATACTTATGCACACTAGATATTTATCTTGTAAGAAAATTCTTTTTTATTACTGTAATGTTTCTATTTCATTATATAGTGTCATTTGGATTCTTTCATTTTGGAGAAATTGGAATTTATTTAATGGTCTAGGCTATTCACATATAAGCTTATCTTAAATTCATAAGGTGTGTGATGAAAATTGATTCACAAGGGCGGCATCGGGAGAAGGCAGACGCGAGGAAGAAGCTTAAGCAAAGCGTCAGTCGTCTAGCGTAGATATACACCCAATAAATAAATGAAGCCGGCCACCA